GTCGGCCGTGAGTGTGCACGTCACACAGAAAGACTGATGAGTGAGCGCGGGGGTGGCTGGAATTAAAATGTCCAATTTAACAACCAGCCTTTGGGCTGATTGATTCTGAGTGCATCGTTGTCACCCTGAGTGCATGCATGTCACACAGATAAAAATCTGAGGAGTGCGTGTGGGGACTGGCTTCAGATTGGCATGGAAACTTCAGAGTGCCTCATTGTCTGCTTTGAGTGCGCGCGCTTCACACAGAGAAAAACATGAGTAATAAGGTTTTCGTTTTCGTAAGTCAGTCTTGACAGTTGGCCGCATGCGCGTGGATGGATTTGAGCGCCTCGTTAGGAGGCGGGATAAAAGATGGAGAAATTTAAAAAAAATAAAATTAAATTGGTCTAGAGACTTGATAAGTCTGAGTGCATTTCCCACTGGATTGTTCACAGCTGGGGTGGCTTTCGAGTGCCTCGTTGTCATCCGTTAGTGTGCACAAGTCACGACCAAAGTCAGACAGGGGATTTGGGCTGCCGTAGACACTTTAGAACGCCTTGTTGCTGTCTTTAAGGCAGTAACAGGTCTTAAAACTTACCCCCTCCCCTCAAAAAAAAAAAAAAAAATCAGTCAAATTTGATTGTTCCAAACAAGAAATTTAGGACATGTGCACTTAAAAATAAGTGGTATAGATTCATGATGATTCAAGATTTTTTTGTTTCATAATCAAAGAATTTACACATTTAATTAGGAGTTTTATAAAGTGTTCACGCGTTCATGTCGCCGTACGATGACATCTTCAGTGAAGCTCCCGTGTATGATTTTGGGGATGTGGGAGGAAGCAACTTGATCTTTTTGTTGAATGTTTTTTTTTTTTTTTTCTTTCTTGCATGTTCATTGGCGTTCTGTGTGTGTGCGCGCCCGCACGTGTGTGGGATGACAAGTGTTTTATACAAGGTCAAGTGCGCTGCCGCCTCGCTCTGTTTCTTCCTTCCCGCGCCACTTCTTTCCTTACCTGACGAGCTCCATTTTTCACCCTCTCCTCTCCTTTCTCTTTCTCGCCTGCTTATTTGTCGCTCTTTTGTCCCTCCGGCCGTCTCCCGTTAACCTTGTTTATCGCATTGTCTCCCCTGCTCCATGTCCTTTTCCTGCGCCGCCTCTTCCCTCGTTCATTCCCTATTCCTGGCACAGCATTCTCTTCCTCGCACCCTTTCATCCACACCTCCCCCTCCCCTCCTTTCTCATTTTCCTCTTCACACACCAATGGCGGAAAGTATGGAAATGTCACCGTGACCAGCCAGAGGATCGTTGTTGAATGTTTGCCTGCGTTTGGCCAGCCGCCACGAGACATAACCGTCAACGACAGAAGTTGACGACTGGAAGATGTTGAGGGCGCCCGTCGGTGTCTGGAGCGTCACTCGTAGGCGACACACGTCTTTGGCTGCTCTCCTACCCTCCAACCGTCTCTTCGCCCTCACTCTCTTTTGTTCTCGTACCCTTGACCCGCCTTTTTTTTTTTTTTTAATCCTACAATTCCCTCCGTTCTGCCACTGGACTCATCTCACTCCCTTTCTCTTCACACGACCCGCACTCTCGAACTATTTATACTCGCAATTATTCTTTCCAAATGCCTTCTTTGGCTTGGAGCGTCGCCGCTACTTGAATGACAGAGTCTTGAGGGTTCAGCGACCATCAACAGAAAGTGTGTGTGTGTGTGTGTGTGTGTGTGTGTGTGTGTGTGTGTGTGTGTGTGTGTGCGTGTGCGTGTGCGTAATCATTTCCCCTAGGCAGGGTGGCGTCTCATCAGGCCAGCATGTCTCTTCAGGGTGGTCGCGCGGGAATTGACCTGTGCTGGCTGTTTCTTATTGCCCGAGAATGACAGACAGACAGACAGACAGACAGATGGCTGTGGTTCTGCCGCCCCCTTGCGAGACGCGCAGACACCCCGTAACCGCGACATGGAGTGTAGCATTTGAAGGACAAAGTGGCCGACGGGTTCGCCATCTTCCAGCCAAGTTGGGCAACTGGCAACAATCCGGCTGTTGAAAATGGCAACTGGTGTGTCAAAAATGAATGCACGGCCGATGGGGAAGCCTTGTCTTGGAAAAACATTTCCGTTTTTTGGGGGGAATGTGTCAGAAAACATGCAGCGGGACAAGGAGTCGTCACCAACTTGAGAGCTCTTCAAGTTTGGAGCCGTCGATTATTTTTGGGGTGGGGGTGCAAGAATTAATCAACTACTACGGTCAAGTACTGTAAATAACACGCACCCGTGTATGTCGCCCCCACGTGCTAAAATTCAACCTGGAAAAAGCATTTCCTTCTCTGGATTTATGTATAATACGGCCCCCGGCTTTGCTGTTATCCATTATTATCAGAGTGAATAATCGAAATGAGTAAAGATTCCAAACATACCAATAATGTGGAAATGCTTTTCAATCCAGTTTACAAACGATGACCCCCCCTCCCTTGCCCCCTACCAAAAAAAAAAAAAAAATAGGAAAAAAAAAAAAAAAAAAATTGGCAAAAATCAAAAAAAAATCTTCCAGTCCTGATGCTAACATGAATTGTTTACACTTTGCACGGTAACTGAAAAAAAGCGTTGTCATGGAGTCCTAAATTGCTGTTGCCAAAGTGGCCACTGACCCCAAATTCAAGAGAGGAGCAGCTTGAGTTTCTTTTTCCCCTTTGAAATGACTTTTGGAGTGTCAGTCAGTTCAGTCAAATCATGCTCCTGCCTGTATCTCTCTCTTTCTCTTTCTCTCTCGCTCTCTCAGCGTCCTGCACTCGATTCCGCGGCAACTTAAGTGCAACTCCCCATCCCAGAGCTAATTTGGGTCTAGTCAGCCTAGTTCAAGTTTGATGGACAGAGGCGAGATGCTGCCCGCAGATGCAAAGATGCCAATGAAGCCGTGCGTAGGAATTTCTCCTGCCTGGAATAGGGAGGGGCGGAAGTAAAAGAAAGAACCAGGGGAGATGATCAAGCTAGCCTGAGCCGTGGCGGGCCATCGCCTGGTGCTTGTCCAAAGGCTCCTCCGTGGTTTCCAAGTGTGTTGTTTTGTGGTTGCAAATTGGCCCGGTCCGGGGAGAGCTGCTGTTATTCTTGGAAAAGGCCTTGTTTTCTTCCCACTCGCTCTTTTCTTTTCCTCATTCCTCGCCGCTCGTATTGATATCTCACATCTCCCCAGAGAAGAAAAGGTGTGGAGTTTATTGCTCGTCAAAAAGAAAGACAGCGTTGCCCTTTTCCTTTTATCTCCCAGCCTATGTATGGTGTTTCACTTGTGTGTGTGTGTGTGCGCGCGCGTTTTATCAGTCATCTTGATATTAGTTTCAACACAGCAGCTTTGCCTCGACGCAAACCGGTCGAACTGGATCCGCCGGTAATTGTTTATGTAAAGGTGAATGAGTTTTCCTCGGTGTGTGCAAGTGTCGAAAGCGAGACACGGTGGTCAACAAAGCCTAAGTCCGCAACTGACTTCTGAATCGGAAACCGATTTTTGAGGTCTCACAGGGCATCTTGCAGACATGAAAGGAGGAGGGACAACCAGATTTTGCCGATTTTTGTTGCTCACCTAAAAGTTGCGGTTGCAGCGAATTGGCTAAAATGTTGAACGTTGTTTTTCCAAAGAAGGAGCCAACATTATTGATTAGTACAAAAATAATCAGTCTGCTTTCAAGGAGGACAACAGCAATCTGAGAATATTTACTGTCGAGAAACTGAAATGCCAAAAAGGCATGTGAATGATTCATCGATCTATCAAAAGTCACGATTGTCAACTTACTGATTTATTAATTGCAGAGCTAGTGCGGAAGATGTAGAAACACAAATGATAATTTAGTTCTTGGTTTGGTCCGTCATGTCAGCCTCACAACTGTGAATGTGGACAGTTGTGAGGCTGAGGCGAGAATTTGGACAACTAGGTCTCCAAATGATTCAATGATCAAAAAAATTATCGATTAATCTCATTAGTTGTTGATTATTTATCACCTCTGAGACATAAAAGTCGCTGCCTTTCACATTAACATTTCGAAGACAATAAAGCCCTTGTTTGACTCTCATTTGTCTTTAAAAAAAATAAAAATACAAACGGCCATTTTTTTGCTGATTTCGAAACATCTGATCGCGACTGATTAATCGGTCAGGCCCGAGTTGTAAGCATTTGGGCAAGAGTTTGAAGAGTTTGAAACTGTTGGCGACACCTAGAGGGCTTGAGTGAAATGGCAGCAGTGTTCAGCGTGCGAGCCCATAAGTCGTCGGCTTTAACTTTCTGTCGCAGGCGATTAACTCGTATAGTGGGAGTCGGATTTTAAAACATTTCCAACACCTTCCAGTGTGTACATTGTGAGCTCACTTGCACGCACGCACACACACACACATAAACATTCCAGCTGCAGAAATTTGAGGTTGCGTATTTACAGGTAATCCACTTTTACTTGAAACAGGTGCCATCATGCTGACACATACTTAATGCCGGCTTACTCATACAAGTAATTACATTTTCACAGAGACCTGGATTACACACACACACACACACACACACACACACACACACACACACACACACACACACACACACACACACACAAATACTTGTCAGATTGCGGTTCGAAAGCTCCATTGCTCAGTTTCTCGCTCTGCAACAAAAGCAGATTTATTTTGACTCCTTGCGGCTGCGAAGGACTGTGTTGGTATCAGCAAGTGGGAGGTGAGAGCAGCAAGGGCCATCCGGATGATAAATGACCGCTTTTCTTTTGTCCCCCCCCCCCCCCCCCCCCCATGACCTCTTTTTTTTTTTTTTTTTTAGGGGGGGGTGTTTTTATTTTTTATTTCGGCTGCTCTGTCCACGCAGACACAGTCACGCGGTGGCAAACTCTTGTGGCCTACTTGCCAGGGTTTATATGTTGCAGCAGACACCTCCCATTTATCACCCGTTTATGATGCGCTTCTCTTTTTCTCATCTCCTCTGTCGGACTCGTGAGCGGCAGAAATGAAAGTGTCTCTCTGCTTTGTGTGTGCTTAGGGGCGTCTGGCCAGCGTGTGAAAGTGGAGCCTGAGGTCTTGTCGTATCCCGGCCAGACGGTCAACCTGCGCTGTGCCTTCACGGACACCACCGGGATTCAGCTCACCATGGTCAGTTGGGATCTTGATGCTCACTTTTTCATTGCACTGGTCAACAGCAAAGAGGGAGATGGCTTGAGGTGGCTTTTTTTTAGGGTTTCATTGGTCTTGTTTTTTCCCGATGCATTCCAGTGGGCGTCAATTAGATGCAAAATTTGACTGCTGGTGGGCTGATGCTGGTCCCAATTCGATGCAAATAGAGGAGGCCAACAGTGATACGTCTGCACCATCCTGATTGTGTAAAATCTAATTTATAGCATAAAGTGTGATGTTTCATTCAAAAGAAAAAATCCACCTGTTGCTCAACCTAACCCTTAATTCATCAATATTATTATGGTTATGACTATAATACTAATAGTAATAATAGTAATAATAATAATAATAATAATAATAATAATAATAATAATAATTATTATTATTACTGTTGTTAAGAAAACCGGAAGTGCAAGAGACAAAAACGAGGTGCCAAAAAGTGATCTTGGAAAGTTAACTTGCATCACTGATTAATAAAATGTAGTCCAAATTTGTTCACTAGTGTTCTATTTGGCAAGTACAGCATGGGGCTTTTTTTTTTTTTTTAATAATATATATGCTATGACCGACTTGTCTGCACAATTTTTCGGGTGTGCTATCAGTTAAGTTTTGAGAACCAAAATAGTGACTGTACCGTGGCCTTCGCAGTTCCCGGTTTTCGGCCCCTAAAAATATCAGCTTTCTGCCATAATTGTATTTCATTGTGCTGATAATTTGTTGAAATTGCTTGGCTCTAGTCACAATTGTCAGTTGTGGGATTGGAGCCTTATTTGTGTCCAGCATTAAATTGTAATCTAACAAATCATGGCTCGCGGAAATAATCCTTAAGGCTCGGGGTAATGGGTTTTTATCACATTTAGCCTTAACGTTTTCCTACGCCACGCAAACAATGCTAAGATTCAGATTTGCTTGAGGGGATTGACTATGGTAATGGAAACACTCCTTAGTTGCATCTCAATGAAGTGAAAAAGCTCTGGGAGCAGCTGAGGCGGGGCTCAGACGGGGGTGGGGGGAGAAAGTGGTTGGGATGGCGTGCTGCTCTTGAAAAAATACACATCCATATTCATACCTGCTCCATTCCTTCCGCGTTTGAACCGATTTTTAAAATGTGAGAGACCACAACCAAGGTTCGGAAATATTTGGTGTCGTGAGCGCATGTGTTCTTACTGCTATCTCTCTCACACACACACACACACACACACACACACACACACACACACACACACACACACACACACACACACACACGACGCACGCGACAATGTCTGTCGTCGTCTGATTTGTGAGCGGGAGCATGGTGCCACAGGGCATCTATGCTGCCCTAAAATGCAAAGGAGGAGAAAGTGCAGAAGCAGCTCGGCTAACGCTTAGCATAGCTGGGAACTCCATTTGAGTTGCAAACTCTTCACCTTTTCATTTTCATTGCGGTGAATAACCTGAGTCATGTTAGATCATCAACGCCAGATGACATAACCAGTTGCTCCTTGCTTTTTTTTTTTTTTTTTTTTTTTTTTTGCTGTTGTTTTGTTTTGTTTTTTGAGTTTTAAAAGTTGCTAAATTGACATATTGTCAGTAAAAGGGGTTTTGGGGAACTGTATTTGGCACCGACAGAAAACCAGGCCCCAACAGAGCTTCAAATTAGAATAAAACAGTCCGACATCATTCTTTTGCACCATATCTCCTCACCCTTTTTATTTCATCTGCTATTAGGGGAACCCCTTCTTTGATTGGCTGAGGAATTTCAGTTCAAAATACCGTGATGTTAACCAACGGCATTACATGCGCAAAAAAAAAAAAAACCCAAAAAAATAAACTACTTTAATAGCATAAAGGAAATATTATTTGTGAGAAGAGCATTATGTCCAGCATAGGTCATCATTTTTTTTTCGTGAATTTATTTGTTACGGGGGCATTTGCAGCACTCATTCCATGTGTTGCTTTGGTTTTTTTTTTTTTTTTTTAATTTCACAAAGATGGCATCCATAATTGAACAGGTTTATCGTTCTCAATTGGGCCCGACAGACTATTTTTAGAGCAGGTTCGGGAGGCAAAAAAAAAAAAGAATCTAAACACACACCGTACAAAAGAGTGATGTCTTCAAGACATCCCGTAATCTTCCCGTTGCTGACTTTGATTGCCAAGTGAGCGAAAATACTCAAATTCGGTGTGCTTTTCAGTACGAGTGTCACTGAAAAAGCGCTCCGCTCACAGGTCACCTGGATCTACGAGCCCAAAGAGGGGGAGCGGATGAACATCGCCGTCTTGCACCCCGTCTTCGAACCCAACTACCCAGACTCGCCGCTCAAGGGCAGGGTCAGCTTCATGCAAAGCCCCCCGAACATGGATGGCCCCTCCATCCAGATCAGCGATGTTCGCATGACGGACGAGGGCAAGTACATCTGCGAGTTCGCTTCCTACCCCAGCGGACACGAGCAGGGAGTCACCCAACTGGTCATGCTCAGTAAGTCTCAAGAGGAATTCTTTACTGTCTGTATCTTGTCGTCTTACAGTACGTCTACTAGTTTTTGTTTTGGGACCACTGAACCCAAAAAAACAAAACAAAATTTTAAAAAACCTAGCAGTCGAACACCTTCTTTAAATTATCGAAGAAAAATAAATCTCCCTTCGTATCCAACTAACCTGACACATGAAAACTTTAGCCGTCAATTTGTTTCTTCAAACGTTTTAATGGACGGGTCCAAAAATCAAGAGTCCAGGGCAACCCCTCATCCATATTTGTTAGCGTGTGCGTGTGTGTACACTTTCACGAAGGTATCCATGGTGATAGGCTAAGAAGTCAAATGCTAATGACCATAATGGAACAAAGAAAGGATCTTATTACTGGAAGTGGTCCTTGAAAGGGAGCAATAGTGGCTTGGATGGCTTACGTGACAATTCACAATGCTTAAATCTTGCAGTGCGAGCTGGGCAGTGTTTACATGCTTCGAAATTCACCAGACGACAATTAAGCCTTCGGGTTTAGGTTTTGGATGAGGTTGGAACAGTTCAAGCGTGAGGGGTTAGGGTTCAGGATTTGAGTTAGGGGTCGTCCCTGTCAAATACGTGAAGATGAACCTTTCGTAGCTAGCTTGTTAACTGCACGTCGCAATTGCCCCAGATAATTGCTGATATGGAACCTCAAATTCTTCTTCGGGGGGGGGGGGTGACTCATGCTGATGTCGATGTGCGTCCAAAAAAAAAAAAAAAAATGTAGAGGAGAATTGAATTGATTTGACGTGCAGTGGTGAGGTTCAGGTTAGGGACGAGCGTTGGGCTAAGCAGTGCATCACGCCCGTCGTGGCTGTAGCAGAACTCATGACTCGGACTGTATTTCGAGACCAAAGTTTGCCACTTGGAGCTGATGACCTCAAAGCCTTAAAGTCAAATGGAAACAGAAAACATCCTCGACAACCGCGAGAAGCAAAATTGGTGACTTAGTTTGGGATGTCAGGCCTCGACATTAAAACGAATCTGTCCTGGCAGACTTTATCGTATTTTACTGGACATTTTACTCCAACTGAATGTGGAGAGGATAGATCTGCACACCAATTTGCATTCAGAGGTGGCCATTTTTAAATGGCAGCAGCTCGTGTGGCCAATAAATACAGTTTATGAAGTCATCTCTTTGAGTGCATCTCTGCGGGCCTTGTCAAATTATTGCATTACAGTGAAGTCATGCCGAGCTAGCAAAACGGAGTACAGCTTTCTTTCTTCTTCTTCCTCCTCGTCATTTGTGACTTGCCACTTTTCTGGAATGTTGAACTGTAGGACCAACCGCAGCACCAAAAAAACCCCACCAAAAAACCCCAAGCATCCTCACATACCAGAAGAGTCCAGTGGGTGAGGTTTGCCGTTTAATCATAGCCTCAAAGGACTCGAGTCAATTTTGGGATTTTGGGATCACTTAAAAAAAGCGACCGCACCGAAACATATTTGTGGCCAAATCTTGAGCTAGGGATGACATAATATCAACGCAACTCTCCAAAAAGGACAGCATGATTGGTGACATTTTCGAGCCGAAAGGTTAAACGTAAAGACTCGCTAAACTGAATTTTTTTTTCACTATTATCATCGACAGATCGACACGACACCTTTCTCTGTGTTCTGCTGTAAGAAAGGTTAAAAGCCTTCACAGTCAAAACACTTGGTGCATAATCGTTTTGTCTGCAACTGCATGCAGTATTGTGATGCATCCGCTGGAGCGGTTTGCAGAGGCATACTACCATGGGGCTGTAATTATAGCCGAGTGTGTCTGCGTGATGAAGAAATGCAACGTCTTTATTCTTTTTCTTATCTGAGTTGCCTCCACTAAGGATGGGCAAAATAATTGAGTGATTGAGTGTGATGAATTTGGTGGAATGAACTGAAACAATTGAGGCAACAGCTCGTGTACTTCGATGCATAACGCTGGGCTGACCTGTGAGAAAATACAGATGCAAATTGAATTGATTCCATGACCTTTCCCCATTTGAAATGATTGGAAATGCCATTTATCCATTCCAGCCTACCGAGAATTGGAAATGTAATGCTGTAATTAGGTGCTATTTTACTTGATGAAAACATGACTGAATGTCAAGAATTGAACGGCTTTTGCCAGAGTTAGCTTTAAGCGAGCAAAACTAGGTGGTTGGTTGTTTTTTTTTTTGTTTGTTTTTCTTTATTTTAGGTTTGACAGTAAATTTAAAAGATTAAATCATAAATCACATCATTCGTATCTCAAGGCATGTGTATATGTATATGTGGCTTTTTTTTTTTTTTTCGGTTCCAGACAGATTTGTTTGTTTTTTTTTTTTTTTTGGCTCTTTCAACATTTTAGGTTGCAGAACCCTGACCTACATGTAGTTAGATTTTTTTGTTTGTTTAGTTTTGTTTTTTTGTGCACTGGTATGGTGGTTTAACCTACCTAATTGATCTCAGTGGGAAATTCAGTTTTGAAAGTTTTAGTGTTGAAAGTTCAGCAAGTCAGCAAGGGATTTTCTTCTTCTTTCTTCTCCAGCGAAGCCCCAGAATTCTGCCTCCCCCTTAACGGTGGAAGCGGGCCCCAAGCCCATGGTGGTGGCACGTTGCGAGTCCCTCAACGGCCGCCCCGCCGCGCAGATCCGCTGGGTGACGACCGCCAACGGCAACGCCACCACGTCGTCCAAGCCGGGCCAGGACAACACGGTGTCGGTCACCAGCGAATACCGCCTGGCTCCCGCGGCGGCCGACAACGGCAAAGATATCAGCTGCCTGGTGTCGCACCGGACGCAGACTTCGCCGGAGAGCTTCCAGATGAAACTCAAAGTTTTATGTAAGACTCCGAGCGTCATTTATCGGCTCGTTTTTCCTCCCCTCAAAGTTTGAAGTTAATTCTTTTTATTCGTAGCACTGTGCTGTTTCCCCTCTTTCTAACCCCTCTCTCATTTCCTTTCCTCAGACGCCCCTCAGGTGGCAATCGTGGGTTATGACAATAATTGGTACGTGGGCCGTACAAATGTGCTGCTGACCTGCCAGGCCAGCGGCAATCCGGTCCCGACGACGGTGCTATGGAAGTCGTGAGTACCGCCATGTTCCCGTAACTTTTTGGATGCCTCCTCTTTGTTCGCCCCCTCTCTACAAGCGTCATCTTCAAGCCCGCAATCATGCGGGCGAGCCGTCATCAGCACTTTAATACGACCGCTGCAGCGCCGTGTTGCGCTGATGGAAATAGCCACTTAATTTCTCATAATGGACTCTGACTCGGAGTTTAACCCTTCGTGAATGAGAAACACAATACGTCTGGAACTGTTCCTCCGCTCACATTTTTAATCCGTTACCATGGCGCGACTGTCTGTGCCTTCGTTTGAAAAAAGAAAAAAAAAAAGAGAGAAAATCAGATCCTGCTGCTCGATCATATTTTTATATTGGATGTTGAGGGAGCCAGGAAAAAATGTTTCGCTGATAAATAAGATTAGCCGACTCGGATGTACGTTGCGCAAATGAAAATCTGTGCTGAGTGTTCTCGCATCAAGGCAGTTCTGATTTTGTGCCTACTGCCGGTCCGACTGTCTACTTGTGCATTTTCAGTGGTCCATATGCAGAACATCTTAGTGTTTGCTTTTCAAACAATTCTGAGGTACGCACAATACAGTCGGCACAGCTTCTGCTCATTGTTTTCCAAAGTAGAGGCAGATGTTTGCAAGTTTCGTCATCAGTCTGCTTTCACAAAAGAAGAATATTTAAATCAGTATATTTCAAGGAGAAAAGCTGACATCAAATTGGACAATTTCAGGTTAAACAATGGCTCCAAACAATTATTCCATAAGCAAAATAGTTATCAAGTAATTTAATGATCAGTGAGTTGTCGGATGAGTGAATTTTGAATTTTGACACCTCTACTTTTGAGTGACAGTTGCCATTTGTTTTCACATGCTTTCGTGAACACAACATTTGTAATCTGGGATTTATTGTTGAACACTGTCAAGGCGATCTTTTCCTCCAAATCGTACAAAATGACTGAGCGGTGTTGTGAAAACGCAGCCTAATGCAGCCATCTCCCTCCAGTATGACGGGAGAGATGCCCGACACGGTGCAAATCAAAGACAACCAGCTGAAGGTGCTCAAGGTGGACGAGGCAGTCAACACCACTTTTGTCTGCGAGGTCAAGAACCGCGTCGGGACTGGCAGGGACCAGGTCACGGCCTTGGTCAGAGGTCAGTCAAACACGCTCGCTCGCTTCAGCAGACGGAAGCGTGCCGTACGTAGGCCGGATGGTGTTGGGAAGAAAAAGAACAAAAAAAAAATGTGTGGATTGTCTCTGGAGGCAATTGTTGATGATGAGGCCATGATGCGCTCTTCCAAGCAGTTCTTTTCATCATCTTCAATTCAGCAATACTGCGTTGGTGGTGTCAGAACAAGTCAAACCGTGTCACCCTTTCCACAGATGAAATCACCTTAAAAAAAAACACACACTTCATCTAATTTTTATCACACAGCTAACACGTTCCAAGTGTAGTTGTCTTTTATGTTTTCCCCAGGGAAACACACACACACTTTCTATCTTGTATTTAAAGGTTAGAAGGCCCAGCTGCTCTGTCCATGGCGTGTGTAAATGCGTGTGCGTGTGTCACCTCTCCTCCTGTGTCCTACTTTTAATTGATGACGCTGCCTCCATGACGAGCGCTTCATCACGTACGGCTTTTTCCTCCCGTTAAAGTTTCTACGCCAAACGTTTGCCCTTGCCAACACTTTTGCTTTTGCGCTATTTGTTTGATTTCTTTTTTTTTTTTTTTTTTTTTAATGAGCCGCTGAAACTGAACTTCATCCTGTGAACGCCATGATCAAAAAAAAAAAAAAAGTGGGTGGAAATAGAAAGGACGAAGCTTCTCTGGATGTTCGGTGATTACAGGAGAGACTTGTGTAAAGGCAGCGAGGCCGCAATCGTCGTTAGTTTCGCTCGGTTGGAAAATGACGCTTGCTTCTAGTGGGCTTTAATGGTGCCTCGGGCGTCGTCATTAGTCCTTTGATTGTTGAGAATGACCACTTTTGTGTAAAACGAATGGCTTCTTGTTGCCACGGAGGCAAAATGACGCTTGCTTCTAGTGGGCTTTAATGGTGCCTCGGGCGTCGTCATTAGTCCTTTGATTGTTGAGAATGACCACTTTTGTGTAAAACGAATGGCTTCTTGTTGCCACGGAGGCAAGATGGAGTGCAGGACCTGCTGGATTCAGTCTCAGCTAGTTTGTCGGTTAAAGATGAACGTCAACTAATGCTTGAATCTGTGGCGTGGGTTCACGCATTCGGCGGACATACCCACCGAATTTGAGAGCGGAGACAAGAGCTTGATTTTTCTTTCATGGTTTTGAAGAATTTTGAATACTTGGTGATTTATTGATTTATTTTTTTAAATCTGTCGATTTGGCAAGTTTAGCCACCCTGTTCTCTGTTGTGTGTCAACTTAAGAGGACATTTTCACTTGACGGGGACTCAAACTCTGGCCCAAGAGCGTGCCACTTAAGGAGCAGAAAAATCCACAATTGCACGCTCCAGCTGATCCTCAGCCATTTTAATTCTGTCCCTCAGTGTCATTCATACCTATATTTTCCCCCGTAATGCAAAAATAACCTCCACCCCCTCCGTTCTCCTCTACTTAACAGAAAGTTATTTTCAGCTGACATGGGGGAAGGTGCCGGTAGTGGCTTGTGTACTTATCCCTGGAATGGCGGATCCATGCTTTCCTTTGGTGACGACATCACAAGAGCCATCCTTGTTCCTGCATTTTGCCCCCCTTCTTTTGTTCATTCCCCGCCTTTCTGCTATTCCCCCGGCTCCCCATATGGTGCCACGGCATGCGTCACCCTTCCTGTGGGACCCTTCTGTTCTGGCTGCCGAGCCAAGTGCGGGCGTCCCGTGTCGCACAAGCGATCACGCCGCCTCCCGCTGGGGCTTTACAGGCGAGGAGCAAAGCCGGGGTGTAAAAGTAAAAGTCCAGGCAGCGTGGGCACACAGGCAAGCAGGGAGGAAGATTGTGGCTTTTTATGGACTAAGAAGTCAGGGAGTGTGCAGCAGGATGAATCGGTGCCAGCATGCAATCCAGTGAAGGGGATGGAGCGAGCAAGAGAGAGACGAAATGGGGGGGGTGGGGGTTGAGAGCGCGAGCGAGCGCGCGAGAGAGAGGATGCTGAAGGCATTTCAAAGTCCCATGGGAGACTTGTGCCACTGCATCCTATCTGCCGAGCTATTGGCCTGCACTATCTGTGGCTACATAGCGTGTGTCTGTCTTGTCTCCAAGCCTCTCAGAGCGGATCAGTCACCCTTTGCTGCTTGAGCTGCTGGCTGCTTCCCTTGCCATTTTGCTGTCCGCTCCCCTCTCTTTCTTTAGCCACCCCCACTTTTTTTTTTTAAATATATATTATCCCTTCTCCCTTTCCCACTCCTTTCTCACCCCACTTTTCTCTCACAGTTCTAGTTGAACTTGATGCAGTTTCACCCTGCTCTCAGCTTCCTACTCCATCTCGTGTGGTCCATTACCTCCTTTCCACTTTGGGTCTTACTCGCCAGCAAAAGAGAACAGGCAGGGAGGTGGGCATGCCGGGAAGGAGGACTAAATGACACCTGAATTTGCAGTGAGAGCAGAAAGATGGAATGGATCCATTTGACTTAAAGTGTTGGTTCAATTTCAAAAGTGAGGTTGTGAAATGACTCCCCCTGAGTGTGCATTCAAACCTGTGAACACAGTTTGAACATGACTTAAAGTGCCAAGATGGGCGGACAGGCATGATCATGCTGCATTTCCACACGATCTGACTTGCATGCGGTTGGAACGCAACTGACAAAAAGTGGTCTAAAGTGTGATGGTGAAAATCCAAGTTTTAGCCCACAATAAGGACATGATTGTCATTCATGAACAGACGTTTGGGAATAAACGGGCAGATGTTTGATTCGCTCACAATCGAAGCGGCTCCCCTCGTGCCTTTTCAGTTCAGTGCAGGAGAGGCGCGCAGTTGACATGGCGGAAGCAGAACAGACTCGCTGGAGTCCGTGCAGGAGATTGGCACACGTGAAGTACCTTTGTCAGCAACTGCAAGAATTCCACTTGCGGATGACGTAAAGTTGCCAAGTGGGCGCTTGGAGACGGTGAACCGATTGTGCGTCTGTGTGTGACTTTCTTTTTTTTTTCCTATTAAATTGTCTGGTTCATCAGAATTTTATTCCGACCAATATTGGAATTGTCATCGGCCTAAAAAGTCATGCGCGTCGGTCCGTCTGTACTGCTGGTAGTTGGGTATGTAAAGGCACAGAGAGACATTTTCATGCTGGTGCTAGAGTGAAGAGAAACGGGGCCGACAGGCGCGGGACGGCCAGCGCCTGCCAGATAGCGGCACCTCCATCCCCGTCCAAGCCCGCCTTCCCTTCCACTAGTTCCAATGACACGCACATGAGCTCACGCACCGCCGTGCTTGTGTGGCCGTTCGCCTCAGTGTCCTCCTCCTTGTCCCGCGCACCTTCAGACAGGCTGGCACAAAAATATCCCACCTTCTCTCGCTGGTTTGCTGACGTGTGCTCTTTTTCGTTGCGACTCCTCATTCTCCTTATCTCTAGCAGGTTGTCTTTCAGCCTCCGCGGCTCTGCCTCTGATCCCCCCCATCTCCCTCCCCTTCTCACCACCACCACACTGCTCAGGAATGAGACTTCTGCCCCCCGAGTTTTCGCTCCTTCCCACTGCTATCTCTACCCTCTCTTACACGCCAGTATAGCTCTTCTGTAATCACAGCTTTACTGGTCTCCATCCCTTCACCCACCACTCTGCTAGGCTGGTGCCCGGAGGGTGCGCGTGCGCCTCCATCCCTCCGCCATCTTCGTCCGTGTAGCGGTGACTCAAAAAAAACTTATCCGCACACATGGTCCGAGGGGCTTTCGGCCGCGCCGGAAATAGACGTCCTTTCGAGTCGATGCGCACGGGTCCTTCGAGTAGAGGGCAAACGGGGGGCCGGAGCGTCTTCCTCCTCGGGGTGACTTGCGGTCGGTCGAAATTGGTGCGGCTGCGTAAGCGCGTGCGCGTCTCCGGCCATGCGAGAGTTAGCCAGAGAAACAGGTCCGCTGGAGCCAATTCTGCCCGCGGAGTCAAACTGGCCCGCTGCCCGCCCATTAGCACACATGCACACGCGGCCCTTGTTCGATAACTTAACATGCTTGACAGCGAACGCTTGCCAGCGATGCCGGAGGTGCGGCCAGGCTCAGTGGTGTGCGTTTTTTTTTTTTTTTTTTTTTTTTTAGGGAAAGCTGCAGCCGAGGTTACTTCCACTCCATCTCTCCAATTACTTTTGGTCACTCGGAGCTTGTGATCGCAGTGGACGTGGCTTCGGAAGAAGCATGCTGCTTTTCGGCTTCCGCAGTTTGTTGTTTGTACATGCTGTCGAAAATGTACGGCCCCCGTGGGACTTTTTGGATTTCTGCGTACATTGATTTTAAAAAAGGGATCTGATCGGTCGCAGGCGTTTTCCATGCCGCCTCGAAGAACCTGTCGACATGCTGGTCACATTTTAAGACCAATTGAAGCAAATAGGAGGGCGGCACAGCTCAGTGGTAGAGTGGTCGTTCCCCAACCCAGAGGTTGGTGGTTTGATCCCCGCGTCATCAGTAAGTGAAGGAGGTAGTACTGTCGTGTGAAGCACTTTTGAGGAAGAAAAGTGCGATACAAGTACCAATCCATTTACCATATCCAGGATGCCAAAGGGTTCACATGCTTTTTTTCTCTCAGACCCACCTCCTTGTTAACACCTCATCTATATTTTCTTCTGTTGGTTCAGCCAACAGCTTGTGTTTCGAGGATTGGCCCCTCTCCCTAACCTACTTACTTGAATACTATCGCCGCCTTGTTAGAAGGTGTCTACAGAGCGCCTGCACGGGGGAGCCCCTGACGACTCCATTACACGGCCTTGTTAAATCTTTAAAGTGTTGTCTCAGGAAGACAACATCCACTGAAGGATTTGCAACACGACTTGAGAGAGGGAGGGAGAGAGGCGCATAGCGCTGACAGGAGCGACACGCTGAAAACTTGAAATGCAGCCAGAACACTGCGGTTAAGTTTTGCCATTGGGAATCAAATTTGGCATTCTAGATTATATTGACTTGAAACAAGGACTGGCACTGAAAGAGGTTGCCTTAAGAAATGAAATACAGACATTAAAAAAATAAACATAAAAGAAATACA